TATCTAACTATCTATTCCTACTATCTATCTATCTAACTATCTGTCCCTACTAACTATCTAACATGATTGATGACTACGTATGACTCTTGATATTTTATAGAGCGACAAATGGATATCCTCCTAATTTTCCTCCTATCCACCTAAATTTAGGTTCATATCCATTACAAAACTTATCATAATATGGTTTCGGGACCATCAACTTCAATTTCCAATTTTACAACTAGTTTCCAACATCTTGTTGATCGATAACCAATTGACTTGCTTTATTCTAAAATCAAAACCAATCATTTAATTATTATAATTATCTTAATTATTAAGTTCCTACTAACATGTTTAACAGAACTCGCATTTTTCTTTAACCCTATCGAACTTGTCTATTTGTCATCACTCCATGGCATAATTATAATTTTTTTATTAATTGATAAAAAAAAGAATCGGATCTTTGATCGATTCGATTCATTAATTGAATTACTTTTGATCAATAATGAATTCATGTTATAATTATTTCTGTAGCTATATAGTTATATATTATATATAATAATTTATTTTTATGAAACTTATGATACCATCTTTTGATCCACTGATCCATCAATTAGTCACATAATTGTTCAAGCTGTACTCAACCATATCTCGTCTCTAAATTTGCGATCATAAATGAATAAACATGAAGTAAACATTGCATTATGATCGATTCATTGCACTGATAACCTATCAATAAATAACTTCGATACATAGTCTATAGAGATTAGGGAGTTATTGATAACATATACTATTATCATATATCATAGCATGAAATTATATATACAAACCTCATTTTTCCCGTTATGATTTAGATTTGAACTAGAATTAATTTTAATATTCATGTTTCACTGGATTACATCCAGCTTTACTTATTTACGAATGACTTGATTCTGTAGTCCCCCGTCTAGCATATTGTTTGTTCTCAATACACCGAACAGGGATATGATTAGTGGTTGTCTTCCTCTGTAGATTGAATCTAAATGTGAGTACACTCAAAAGTTTTTATTCATTGTATCTTGATTTATCTTTTGTCTGTGTATTTTTCTTTTTAAGATTACAGAATCATCGAAACTTAGTGTGGATTTTGAATTTAGATTTGGACAAGCATTCAGGACAAACGATGGTCAACGTGGTTGCAATGGTACGGCCCTCCTAATAAATAGTGGGCACACAAGTCGAGGCGCCCATGGTTTATTCCTCGCATTGTGCCTCCTCTTCGCCACACACCCCACATCAGAGTCTCGGAGCTACATTTGATGTGTATTAGCTTCCATTTCGGCATGTGGAATCGATGCCATCGAACCCCACACGTAACTCCATCCAATAAACTAAATAAAATAAATGTATAATTATATAGGTGTTTCCGATGTCGACGGCGACCGCCCACTTCCGCGTTGCTGCGAAGACGCGCGAAGAGTAAACAGAGGGACGCCGGTCCCCCCAAACGAACCACCGGCTTTCCCGACCCCCCTCCTGCAGGTACAAAGCGGGACCCGCACCACCTCTGAGCCGGCGGCGGGTAGAAAGCGAGGGGGCACGGGCGGTCGGCTCGCGTCACCTGCCCTCGACCTACGTGTCACCGCGGCGCGCCGCTGCTGCTAACGTTTTAATTTCTTTTAATTTACCAAAATAAATCAAATTAAAAATATGATTAATCGAATGACACCAACCGAGATAGCATAGCAAAGTACAAAAAAAAAATCTCTCGCTTTAAGGGGATATATACGTCATTTTATTATTATTATTATTATTATTATTATTTTCTTTTCAGTACCCCATAATATTCTTCGACTGTTTCCGTTTTCTATTCCTGCTCGCGACATCGCTCGGAAAGCGTCGTCGGTTTCGTCGCTCTCTTCCGTCCGCGCTTTTCTTACTCCCACCGCAACCCCATAGAACGCGAGCAATAGAATCCCGAAACCCTAACCCCTCGTCCGCGTCTCCTCCGTGTCTCTGCCTCATGAGGAATCGAAGACATCCTTGCCCTCAGGTACGTCTTGCTCTACTCCGTCCACCCGGCTGTGTGCCGCTTGTCAAGATTGGGATCTGTTTTCCTTTGTTGTCGAGGACAGATTTGACTTTTGTGTTCGTTCGTATTCAATTTTCTTTTGTTCTTCTTCGAAGATTTGACATGAATCCTTGCTTGGCTCGTGATGTTTTGTAGTAGCTATTGTTGATTCGTCTATTTCTTTAGCCCCGCTCTTCCTTGCTCTCGAGAAAGCTTATAACCTCCGGATTGCCTCGAGGTTGGAATTCTTTTGCTTCATAAGTCGTCTTCCCCTTTCTTTAATTGACATAACGGGTTGCCCTTTTAAGTATTGATGGTATTTGTTTGTATTTTTAGCCTCCGATATCTATCGATTGTTTTGCGATTTTGTCTGTTGATTCTGTACTGCGCTTAAGTTCATGTGTGACTTTCCACGAAAGGAAGGAAAACATGTTGTATCGTGAATACATATAAATCTCGAGAACGCCTCTTTTGATCCATAGGTTGTGTATTTATTGGCATGATTTATCTGATAAGCGAACTGTTTCGTTTTTGAATTTAATCGTGCGACAAACAAACTCAATCTACTTTAATTGCTACAGAAATAAACCGGAACAGATTCCGGGGCTCGGAGCACTTTCAACGCCTGGGTAGCTTCCCCCATCAGATCTACGCTTGGGTACTGAACTGATCTTGCTCTGGTTACATGCTCAAGTCTCTTACTTGATGACTAATGAAATACCTCAAAGGTTAAGGATTTATCCTTTTTGTTAAAGGATTTTGGGGTCATATATGGTTGGCCGGGCTGTTCTTTGCCTCTTTCTTCTTTTTCTTTTCTTTTCCGCGTCGCAAGCTTTCATTGTTTTGTGCTGTTGTTCTGTAGTTGTACCTTACCTTTTTTGGCTTGGTATCTGTTTGGTGACTCTAGTAGCTAAAAGCTTTAGATTTCTATCTTTTAGAAGCATCGTTATTTCTGTGCCATGCTTTTGCACAAGATTCAGTAGTCAGATGTCTTGTTTGTTTTCCTCTTTTCCTTTCAAGTCGTTGATGATATTACATCGTTATTTTTCATCGAGCAGTTATGAACTCCAGTTCTTTTTTTATAGTTGTTTCTGGAACTAAAACTGACCTATGCAATTTAGTTGAAATTTTTTAGGCTCAAAAATAGTAGAAATTACCTGGGATGTCCTTCTTCTAAATTCAAAATTTTCTTACTTGAGAGAAGGTTTGCTTGTGTTTCCACTTTTGTGCAATATCGACCTTCTATTCTGTTTGTGTGCTTCAAAACTCTAAATTGTTGTCATGAAACTTAAGTGGGTCCATTGTGAATATTTGATGTGTCCTACTCTACAATTCTATTATTCCTTCCTAAAGTGTAGAAGTTACTATGGGCGAATATGCTCACCGGAAATTCCATACAACTTTTTGAACCCTTGGAAGAGATTGAGAAGGTGTCAAGTTGGTATCTTATGAATTTCCATGACTGCTGTTATCTGTTGCCTTTAAATATTTCACAAGACAAATTCTTCCATACTTCATAAATAGTGGGGTGTTTCTTGTTTTGCCTTTCATTCTTTCTTTTTTAATCTAATGTATTCTTTCTTAATTCATTTTTCATTGTTCAACTGATATTTTAACTTGGAACCCAAATGCTTTGCATCTAAGATGTTGAAAGCGTAAATTTGGTTTCCTAGCCTACTTTCCAATGTTCTTGAAAGGATGTTGTTAGGATCAAGAGCGGCACTAAGAGGGGGGGTGAATTAGTACAGCGGAAAACTTTCGTTATTTCAAAAAACTTATTTTGATTAAAACCGATTCCGACGAGAATAATTTCGATTCAATCCGTTTCGGAAAGAATTTGAACTTGAAAGCTTTCGTGAAAGTGCAAGAGAAGACTAAGGTAATTTGCAGTAATGTAAATTGCACAAATGAAAAGCGTCGGTTTTGTAAAGTCTTCGTACGATTAAAGCTAATCTCGGAAGGTGTTTACTTGAAAGCGTATGTAAACGTAGTTAAAGCACAGTAAGGAGGAGAGGCAGTTTGCTATAAAAGAAAGTTGCTCAAAGTAAATGCAAACCGAGTTTTAGAGTGGTTCGGTCAACGTGACCTAGATCCACTTTCGGATTCCTTCTCCGACGAGGTCTCCGGCGTCCACTAAAGGCCTTCCTTTAATAAGTGAAGACCGAACACCTCTTTACAACACTTTCTCCTTTTCCCGGGTTTAGGAGATGAACCCTTACAAGTCTCACTCTTCTTTCTTGGATGGTTACAAGGCTAAGAGATGAAAGAGAACTCTAACTTTTACAATACTTTAAAGGCTCAAGAACTCAAGATTATGCCAATAGGTTTCGTGCTCTTTCATGCAGGAAAGGGTGGGGTTTTTATAGGCCCCAACGGCTTAAAAAATAGAGCCAAAAAGTGTCTAATCTCGGATTTTCGGGGTCCTGGCGGTACCACCGCCATTACTGGGTGGTACTACCGCCTAACACCTGACACTAGGCGGTACTATCGCTCAGTCTGGGCGGTACCACCGCCTGACAGAGCTCAGAGACCGAGCTCTAGCGATACCATCACCTAACAAGGGCGGTACCACCGCCCAGAATTCCTGGGAGACTGAGTCTCCCAGGCGGTGCCACCGTCGGCCCTGGTAGTGCCACCGTCGGCCATGAATTCAGGGTCCTGGTTGGGCCTTGAATCCGGCCCAAACCAGCCCAACTTAGTAGCTGGCCCCTAATTAAGTTAGTGGGATTACCTCCCAAACCTAACTTAATTTACACTCTAACTATAATAATTAAGACATGATTACTGCACTTCATGTTCCGGTGCGTCAATTGCTCTTCCGGCGAGCTTCCGGCGAACATCCGACGAACTCTCTGTAATGCTCCGGCGGACTCCCGACAAGCTCCCGGACTTTACGACGATCTTCTTGGCGAGTTCTGACGAGCTTCTATGGCAAGCTCCTGGACTTCTCGGTTAGTTCCCGCAGAACTTCCGACGAACGTTCGGACTTCTATCGAACTCTCGAACTCCCAACGTGATCTCGATCTTGACTTCGGCACAACACCTGCTTTATATCTTACTGCCATCGTAGTTAATCCTGCGCACTTTTCTCAACATATAGAGTAGATCAAACAAATTACAATTGACTTTATCATCAAAATCCGAGATTCAACAATCTCTCCCTTTTTGATGATGACAATCAATTGATGACGGAGTTAACCTTAACTCCCCCTTTCTATATACCATATTTGAGAAAAGACATTCTTGAATTCAAGACCTTTGAATTCTAGAGACATATTGATAAGTTAAGTTCATTTAAACTTATCAATACTCATATCATGATTCATATCATGATCTAACATTCTCAAAATGATGTCAAGGCATGACATCCATTTTCAAGATTTGATATTTCAAATATGAAGGATGACAAACATAACAATTTATCATTTTATGGCAAGATATCAATTTGTAAAATTGCAAGTTAAATTTTAGATATCTTATCATAATGAAGAAAATTTATCAAGCAAACATTTTAAGTATATATGATGAAATATATTGCATACATTTGTCAAAGCTTTTTGATCAAAGCTTTCTCCACTTTCATCAATTTACCACATTTTGGTATTATTTCTCCCCCTTTGTCATCAACAAAAAAGAGAACAATTCAACAATGTAAGTGTGGTAAAAATTCATGCCACATTTCAATTTGTAAAAATTCATACCAATTATATTTCAAGTATTTATGACATGGTATCATTCAAAAGTTCTCACATTAAAAGTTATAAATATTTAAAGAGATGGCTTCCATCAACTTCTCCCTTTTTTATTTTTCATCAAAACTTTGCATGAAGAAGGAAGGTAAGGAGGAAAATCCATTGAGAACCAACTTTGAATGAAGTTAAAAACGATAAAAGATTTTCATTAAATCATGCTTCAATTTTCGCAAAGATTAAGATATTCATGTGAAATTATATCCTCATTCTTGCAAGTGTTCATCTCATAAAAAAGAATCATAAAAAATCTTCCTTCATTAAGAAAGAATTTATGTGAAAGAGTCATCATATGAAGGATAAAAGAAATTCCGTGAATAAGCCTTCATAATGAGAGGATCATCGTATCAAATTCTTTTCTTAATAAAAATTCACAAGGGATAAATCCGAGAGATGCATTTGTCAATGAAATCCATGAAGTGATTGAGTGTATCAAAAGTGATGGAGCAAGGGTATGAAGTAAACTTGATATGGCATAATCTTATGAAAGCTCTATTCAAGAAATTCATAAAGATAGTCCGAAAAAGATATACATCAAATTCATGCATTTGGACAAATTAACATTCCTAACTCTCTTCTAATAAAATCATATTGTTCTTCACTTAAAGGTTTTGTAAAGATATCGGCTAATTGATGTTTCGTATCAATAAACTCTAAGATTACATCATGATTAGTAACATGATCTTGTATAAAGTGATGCCTAATATCAATTTGTTAAACATATTGCACTTGTGTTATCACATTTTATGGGAATATTTTTAAGATGAATCTTGTAATCCTCTAAAGTGTTTTTCATCCGCACAACTTGTGCACAACATGCATTAGCTGTAATGTACTCAGCTTCGGTTGTAGATAATGCAATCGAGTTTTGTTTCTTGGAAGACCAAGAAACAAGTGCATGTCCTAAAAATTGACATGTTCCGGATGTGCTTTTTCTATCTAATCTACATCTAACAAAATCCGCATCAGCATAAGCAATCAGCTCAAAGTTCTCGGATTTTGGATACCATAATCCTAGATTTGTGGTTCCTTTAAGATATCTAAGTATTCTTTTAACTGCTTTGAGATGAGATATCTTAGGATTAGATTGAAATCTAGCATAAAGTCTTACACTAAACATGATATCCGGTCTAGTTGCGGTGAGGTAAAGTAAACTTCCTATCATACCCCTATAAGCTTTTTTATCAAAGCTTTCTCCACTTTCATCAATTTCTAATTTAGTGGAAGTGCACATAGGAGTGTTGATAGCCTTTGAGCTATCCATATTAAACCTTTTTAGTAAATCTAAAGCATATTTTGTTTGACTAAGAAATATACCATTACTTAGTTGTTTGATTTGTAAGCCCAAAAAGAAAGTTAATTCTCCCATCAAACTCATTTCAAATTCAAGACTCATACTTTTAGCAAATGACTCACATAGAGATTCATTCATAGTGCCAAAAATGATATCATCAACATAAATTTGAACAATAAGAAAATTATTTTTAAATTTTTTGATAAACAATGTAGTATCGACCTTGCCTTTAGAGAAATTATTTTCGATAAGAAATAAGCTAAGTCTCTTATACCAAGCCCTTGGGGCTTGTTTCAATCCATAGAGAGCTTTATCAATTTAAATACATGATTAGGGAGATTATTATTCTCAAATCCGGGAGGTTGTTCACCACAAGATATGCAATACCGTACCGTATCGATGTTTCGAGGTTGGCTCGGTACGGTATGTTACCGGCGTACCGAGCGGTACACCATGGCGTACCGAACGGTTTCCTCTTACTGTAGCACTGCTACAGTTTATTACTATAGCACTGTAGCACTGTCCGTCCGGTAGCGGGCGGTCTACATACCGGTATACCGTTGGACCGGTATGTACCACCCGTACCGGGTGATACCATTCGAAATTGCATACCATGGTTCAACATAAACTTCTTCGGAAATAAAGTCATTAAGAAATGCACTTTTAACATCCATTTGAAACAACT